ATAAAACTCCAAAATGGCATTTTCTTTTGACCCTATGTTTTCTTCCTCCTCTTCAGTGAGGCAAGACAAGAAAATTTCGGGGTAACAAACGTTCGCAAGAATTTCGCTTAAATTCGAACCCATAGCTGATGATAGAACTAGAATAGATATTTTCTGTTTCCTACTTACACGAGCCCATATCCTTGCTTTTCTATCCATTTTTAACTCTAATCTTCCTCCCTAATCTGATATTATTTTGGCAGTATAGACTGAAATTCCATTATGGTCCAATTTTGACCGATAATAGATACCGGGGCTTTGCAATATTTGATTGACTACAATTCTGTATATTCCATTTACTATAAAAGTTCCCAGGGAATTCATTAGAGGAATGTTTCCAATAAAAATAATTTGTTCTTGGATATCCAGACTGTTTTTCCAAATTAATCCCGAGGATATATATAATTTAGAGGAATATGTAAGTAATTCATATACAGCATCTTTTTCTTTTATTGAGGGTTCGACCAATTGATATGTTTCCGCAAATAACTGAAATTCCATTTCTTGATCTGGATCTTCAATTTTTGGAAACTTTAAAAGTTCTTCTGTTAAGCCCCTATCAATGAATCTACAAAATCCTTCAAATTGTATTTGATTCAATCCGGGTAGTGTAGACATTCCTTCATTCCCAACCCCAAGCATTTTTTATTCCCCCCCTTTTTTTATAGAAAATAGCCCATTATTTGCTGTCATTCTTCATCGAATCACATGAATAGAATAGATTTAGCAATAATGGAATTTCTGTTCTTTTTACTTTACTGAATCACATGAAATTTTACCGAACTACGTCTATGAAATACCGATTATGAAAAGAGGAAATTGGATACTCCAATTAGAATTTGCAACAAAACAAACAAATAGAATTGAACTTGTAATATCAATGGAAACAAATTGATCCATTTCACCTAGACTTCGGGTCGGGGTATTTTTAACAATCTAAAAAAAATGAATTCTATTTGTACTATTAGTATAGTATGATATTCCATATTCCCATTCGATTGATATCCCAAAAATAAATTCAGGATTTGCTCGGCTCCATGAGAGAAAGATATCAAAAATAAAATAATCAGAAAAAAAAATACCATTTTTTTTAGCCCTTTACCATTTAAAGTGTTCAAAAAAGAATAAGAATTCACAAAGAAGAGAGATATTTTGACCCTTTATTTTAGAATTGGAGGTTTGCAGTGCATAAAAAGACTTGACATAGATCTAACTTCAACTATAGCTATCTATATATGTCTCTTACGTTATTGCAGGCCTATTTGTTCGAGACAACATATGTTGTGTTAATTTTTCTATTCATTCATCAATCTATTTAATGAAAAATTGGCAAAATAATGAAAGTACGAGAATTTATTGAAAATTCCCTGTAATCTAGAATTGATACCCGATTAGATAATGTGTAACAATGAAAATGGATATTCTGGAGTTGACATATATTAACAGTTCTTCTTATAATGGAAATAGAGAAGGATTCTAAAAAATCAAGATTCCTGAATTCTTCCGGAATTTGTAATTAATGGTTGCTTGCTATTTGTCCCGAAATTTTTACTTTTCTTTTGTGACTGAAAAGGTATACGTTGGTTTTTTGGAGAGGAGGGATATTCTGATCCATTTTTTTTATCAGGTTTTTTGGCGGCATGGCCGAGTGGTAAGGCAGGGGACTGCAAATCCTTTTTCCCCAGTTCAAATCCGGGTGTCGCCTGATCGACAAGATAATGTATTCCGTTTTGTTCATACAAAAACTTTGTCTTTTTTCCATGTGGAAGCAAGGGAAAGCGTTCTTGTCTTGAGACTTGTTTGATTCAAAATTCTACGCATTAAAATGCTTTCAATCTTTGCGTCTCGGATTCCATGAAAAATGAATTCGAGTAGTGAAATAAAAAGGAATAGATCAATCTTGAAGTCAAAGTCTTTTCACTCTACTACTGCTGTAGTGTCCGTCTACTGATTGGGTCTTGAATTAGATTGGATAGGTAGGACGGGGAATAGAATTCCATTTTTCGTTTCGTTGGCGAAGCGATAGAAGAAAAACCTTCTATACAAACTTATGTCCAATATATGAACGCTTCTGCATTTTTTCCATATTTGTTAGCTTAATGAAATTGAATATTTCGATTTTTTTTAATAGTTCTAATTTGATATTAATATTTTTTTTACTATGAATTTCATTTAATGTCAAAAAAAAGACTTATAGTAAGATTCCGTTAGTATCATTAGTATCAAAAAGGTTTGGTTCTACAAAATATTTGACCGCTAGAAAATAGATTCTAGAATTCCCAATTCTTACACACTATAATTATTATATATTATTGGGCCACCCAGAAGAAGTAAATCAACTAATTGCTTCTTTCTTTTATTTTTCTTTCAAGTTGAAAGAAAAAGTCTCGACAGATATTATCCAGAAAAAATGTTTTGAACCAATTAATGAAGTTCCTTTTTCATTTAGATCCTAAAAAAAGGAAATGGAATTTTTGGAAACATAGAATAAAGTTATCTATTGACTCAATTACCAAAATATTCTGATTATGAATAACTCAATGGGACCCCTCGAATTCATCAAAGAAAGAGTGGATCCCTGTTGAGTTCTTATGCTTTCATTTCGAAAACGAAATTCATCCGATTATTACAGGGATGATCCCAATCCGGAATATGAACCATAAAAGAAAATACCAATTAAACCGATCACAACAATACCAGCTACAATACCTATTATCCAAAGAGGAATTCTTCCAGTAGTATTGGCCATTTATTTATCCCACTTTCCTCCACATTTGATCAAGTAGTAAGTCATACTAGAGACCTATACAGTCATAGATAATTATGAAATGAGATCCTTCCGAATAGGATAAGAGAATTCCTAATATATATACTATTATCTTAATTTCTATTAATTGAAGAAATAATTTGAAAATAAAACAGCAAGTACAAAAATGAGTAATAAACCCCAGTAGAGACTGGTACGATTCAATTCAACATTTTGTTCATTTGGGTTTGATTGTGTCATAGCTCTATAATTCGGATTAGGTTTATCGTTGGATGAACTGCATTGTTGATATTAATCCCAAAAAAGAAACGGTGGGTACCGCTAGTCCGTGAACAGCCAACCATCGTACTGTAAAAATGGGATAGGTCCTATCTATGGTCATTGGAGCCTCCTAAAAAGATCTACTAAATTCATCGAGTTGTTCCAAAGAATCAAAACGGCCAGTTATTAAAGGAATTCCTTGTCGAGTTTCTGTAAAATACTCGTTTGGACGGGGGCTTCCAAATACATCGTAAGCTAAACCCGTGCTGACAAATAACCAACCCGTAATGAATAGGGAGGGTATAGTAATGCTATGAATAATCCAGTATCGAATACTGGTAATAATATCAGCAAAAGAACGTTCTCCTGTGCTTCCAGACATGCCGAGCTCCACATATTCTTATACAGTCAAAGGGGGATCGATTCCATAAAAGATCAGATCAGTAAGTATAAATTGACTGAAATTTTATTTTTGGTTACGATCGGCAATGGAGTACCAAGGGTCTCTTTTGAATCGACGCAATCAGTATAACTATCCTTCTTCGAACACAGCAACAAAATTTCACAATCAGTGACAAGATCAACTACTACCAAATAAAATTTCTTTTTTTCTGGTTGTTTCGATGTACTGAATCAAAAATTCCTCAAAGTTTAAGACTATAATATAAGATAGGGGTTCTTTACATTGATTCTTTCTTAGCTTCGGACTATAAATGGAGGATTAATGAAAATGTGGTGAATAGCATGAATTGATTTCTAATAATATAATTCATGAAGGAAATAATAATATTTCTAGAATTCAATTCGATAGGAAACATAGAAATATACTTTTTTGGGGTTGTCGAAGATCCTTTTTGTTAGAATCCCTTCTTGAATTTCATTTTTCAGAATTCAATTCATTAGTCGTCCAGTAACACGTAACAATAATATCAATATCAGTAGAGACATATCCAAGAATGACCTTATTTTAGGCTTTCAAATTATTTTAGGCTTGTTTTTTTTTTATGTTATCTGGCGAAATAAAAATTATTTTTAACAAAATAAACTCATTCTGTACTCTGCATAATTTTATATTAAAGTAATATGCTGATGTCAGGCAACTGCATCATTTTTTTATGCCAGTGGGTGTTCCAAAGGTAGCCTTTCAAATTCCTGGCGAGGATGAAGCTACTTGGGTTGACTTATACCATCAACTTTTTTACAGCAGACTTCTTTTTTTAGGTGGCGAGATTGAGAGTGAACTAGCAAATCAAGTTGCTGGTATGATGATATATCTCAGTTTAGAGAACAAGAACAAATATTTGTATCTGTTTATAAATTCTCTCGGCGGAGAGGTTATGTCTGGAATGGCCATTTTTGATACTATGCAAGTTGTAGAAGCACAAGTACATACAATATGCATGGGATTAGCCGCTTCAATGACATCTCTTATTTTGGCAGGAGGCAGAATTACCAAACGTCTAGCATTTCCTCACGCTTGGCGCCAATGATTCTTATTTGTAGAAGAAGACTATGCCTACGCCAATATGAAGTAAAAAAAGCATGGCACTCTGAGTTCGATATGCAAAAATAATTTTTTTTTTAAACCATTCGATTCTATATCGAAAGAGTAGTAGGAAAAAGGGGAAGGGGTACTTACAATTTTATATTTCGTCTTATCTATTAATTAGAGCCTCTTTTAGTGTCACGATTTTTTTTTACTTCATTTGAAAAAAAAAAAAGAAACTTTGGGATTGCTGAATCAAAAACTACACGAAATTAAGAGAGCAACGAAATCATCATAGTCTTTAAAATTTTTAAAATATTCTAAAAAAAAAAAGAAAGATGGTTATTGGATTCTTTACTGATCTGGGTCTGATAGACCCGGTATATATATATATATATATATATATATATATATATATATATATATATATATATATATATATATATATATATATATATATATATATATATATATATATATATATATATATATATATATATATATATATATATATATATATATATATATATATATATATATATATATATATATATATATATATATATATATATATATATATATATATATATATATATATATATATATATATATATATATATATATATATATATATATATATATATATATATATATATATATATATATATATATATATATATATATATATATATATATATATATATATATATATATATATATATATATATATATATATATATATATATATATATTTTTTTTTTTTTTTTGAATTTCTTCAATGAAAGGTAAAAAAAATGAAAAATTAAAAGTATAGAGCCGTATGCTATATAAAAAATCCAAAAGATGCTTGCCTGTACGGCTTTCAATTTAAATTGAAGTTCTTTTGAATATCCCTTCTTTCTTATTTTTTTAAGTCAAGATTGAGAGAAAAAACAAAAATATATTATACTATCAGGGTAATGATCCATCAACCTCATAGTGCCCCTTATGAGGGACCATCAGGAGAATGTATGCTGGAAGCAGATGAAATGGTGATACTTCGAGAAACAATAACAGCTATTTATTCGCAAAGAACACGCAAACCGGTATGGCAGATATCTAAAGACTTGGAAAGGGATCATTTTATGT